TCAAGGTGATGCCGTTTGTAGGATATCAGCGGCGGGGGGACATTCGAATCATCATGCACCACCCCCGGCCGATAGGCCATGGGGCCTTGCCCACCTAATGGCTTAGGATACGCGGAGGAAGGCTGACGTAGATCCCATTGTCGTACCTCACCATCCTCGGAGCATGTAAGGAATAGATACGGGGACGACTCAGTGACAATACGTTTAACACGATCCGCATGGCTACGATAGACACGGCTATTGGTATTCTCTGCAGTCATGAACCGGGTATTTGTGTAGAAATTGTTGAAGCGCCGACTTCGGGCGGAGGCAGTAAATGCAGATGTAGCCTCAAGATTACCATTACTGCTAGAGTATTCGATGTCAAAGACCCGAACCTGATGGTCACCAGCGCATGTTACCAGGGTACGATCATTCGAATGTGGCATGAACTTGACGGAGAAAATGTTCGCCTTGTGACCGGTATGGAGAGTGGTATTCAGCGAAAAGGGCGCCGATGACGACTCGGGTTGGTAGGAATAGATATTCACGTAATGGTCGTCAGATCCTGAGGCGAGAAGTTGGCCAGACCGCGACCAACTGCAAAAAGTTATCAGACGCAGAAACCAGAAAACATGAAAACAACACCGTGACACCATCAATAGTGAGTTAGTCTCAAACGTACCATAACGCATTGACACAACCTGTATGTCCACCCAACTCGTTAACAATGTCTAGATCGTCTATCCATTCCTTAGATCCGTAGATCCCCCGAATACTGGCACGGCGCGACGGCTCCCCTATTTCCCGGCGCCAGAGACGGTCATACGGTGAGTTCTTCATTATGGAGGCGATAGTCAAGCGACAGTCGGTGTTCAATCTGCTCGTGTTGTGATCATTGCGCGCGACAGATTTCGGACAGCAACAGCTGCTGCGGTGACGTCAGCGTCTAGTTTGGTGACGCTTAGTATGTTGCGTTCCGTGAAGCGATATCGAGAGTAAGTCGTCACGGACCGAAAGCTAAGAATCGTCAGCGGAGGTTCATAGAAAAGGCTAAACGATGTCAACCTCTTGATAATGAACAGGGAATTGGCGGAGATCGGCCTCGGTTGGGTAGAGTATTTAAGCGACGCGCAAAAGGTGGAGTGAAAGGAGAAATTCTCATTCAAGTCCGCGGGAGGTGAGAATAAACTGCATCTGATAAACTTGTAACAGAGTAGGATGATCAGCGGAGAAAGAAACTAACTCCGGTGTTAGTCCTGGCGCTAGGTGGAGAGAGAAAGAGAAAAAGTAAGAGGCAATGGAATGTCATAGATAATATGAGGGGAAAAAAAGGAAAAGCTCCACAGTTCCAGAACCACCGTTGGGCGGGTTGGTCGAGACTAGATTGAATTGGCGAGGATATATGGAATGGTTATGGTTCCAGGACCCTTAGTCAGTGACAGAAAGCGCGTCCACGTCTCAACCCTGGGCGAGCATCCAATGACCAACTTGTTGAGGGGGTTGATAGTAGTATTCAATCGGGTTCCTTTTAGCTAGGTTGTCCACACTACTACATCGGCTTGAAGTCATTGAAAGATCATTGTTTGGTTCGCCATGGGGACGCCAAGCCTTGCTTAATCTGGACCAGTTTCTGCCGTATTGAGAAAGAAAATAAGAAAAGAAACAGAAAAGTCAGAAGAAGTTTTCATCGGTAGACTGATTCCATAGGTTCTTTTTGTATATCTTAGAAACATATCATTGACAGTTCCCGCTCCATGACACTCCTGCAACTAAGGTGGTAGCGACAGTTGATGTAAGAAAATACAAATTTTTAGGTCCGGCCGATAGTCGGATACAGGTACGTTACACTTTGAAACTAATGACGACAACAAAACCATCTTCAGAAAACGGTTTAGTCATCATTTTAGGACAATTGAAGCAAACGTCTCTTTCTCCATCAATCGTGGCCGAGTATATATGATTACTTTTCTAACCGCTGTGGTAGACCGCTGGAATGAACTACCGGGAGCGCTATTAATCATCTTTTCATTCTGTTTCGTAAGTCATAGCAAGCATCTCATGGTCAAAAAGCACTACATGCTAAAGTGACTTCCACTTTGGTCGCCGAGCAGGATCCCAGTCTGCCTATCATCTCGAGCGTAGTATTTCCGTCCCAGTGTGCTTCCGCGACTGGTTAGAAATGGTGGGGACATCAAGACGGTCCACGAGTCCGACACCCTGATGCTGGCAGGTTGGGATTAAAACCAGAAAGTGTGAAGGGGGAGGGGTGAAAAGAAGACAAAGGGAGACAACTCGTAAAACCCCCACAAGTCTGACCCTCTGTCACTAACATGCCGCCGAGGGGATCCAAGAATAACAAGTCATGTTATATCGACTGTCCACTGTATGTATCACTCAATCAAGTTTGTGTGGAAGGGTCAATGCGGGTTAGAAACCAGTTTCCAAGACCATCCGGGGTCTCACAAAACCAGGACCACCAGCAACAAGCTTGTTTTCCCACCCTTTCAATGACACATCGTCAGTTTAGAAAGTGGATGGCTCTAGATCGATCTTTTCGGTCGTCCCTGAGTAATGTGCCCCTGGTTCGACTTCTACCCCGTAGAAAATTCCTATTGTCCTCGTTATTCTTCCACCGGGAATCTCCTTGATCTGCTGGTGTTTTCAACTTCTGGGTATATCTGCTCGTGACGGAGTATAGTTTCGCAGAATAAGAAAAGAAAGTAATGAAAACCTCGGGCTATGCTCCGAGCCAGGACATCACGGATTGACCTATGTGACTGATCAATCACATTGCCATGAGGGTGTCTCTTCCAGGCTATGATCTCCACATTCCACCTCGGGGAATCCTCTTCCCCAGCGGTCTCGTGGAGGCCACCTGCTGGCTGAGCTGACTAACCCACTGTCTTTCCGATCTTACGACGTCCACTTCAATCTTACGGATGGTGTTCAACTCCTCAATCATCGAATTCACCATATCATCTAGTCCCTTTGTGGTCCGATAAAGGCTGGAGCCTTCCAACTGTTCTACCTCCCCATAGCCCATTATATCCAGACTCTGCAGTTGTCTCGAGCATAATTCAAGTTTCATAGTCACAGCGTGCGCTTCTTCCTTCCAGACGCGATCGAGAGGGTCGATAAAAATATCAAGGTCCGATCCTCCCTGGTAATGTCGACAAGTCTTTATCTCCTCAACCTTTCGGAACCAGGATTCAAATTCCTGCACGGCCAACGTAAATCTCCCTCCTGAAATATCGGACAAATTGCAGACTTCTTGCGCAACCTCTGAAAGGATTCGGATTTGTACTTCAAACCCTTGGTGGCCGTTATGTTCAATGGAGTTCTTGAGCCAACAGTGCAACGCTTGTCCATTGAGTCGCTGTCGATATTCCTTTTCCTCTTTCACAACGCAGCGATACTTTTCTGCGACCGTATTGTACTTTATCCGTAGTTGTTTCTCTGCGTTGGTTTTCCATTCGGCGTCCTCTCGCAGTGAAGACAGATGCAGAAGGCTCAGCTGTAAGAGTTCGGTTTGTAACACGGCAACTTCTGGCGAGGAGGAGGGTATCAAGGAAGGGTCTAGCTCCATAGATGCACTAGCCGATGGGGCAGCGATGGAAGGCTTGGCGAGCTTCTTGGGTGATGGTTGTTGCTGGTAGGTCGAAAATTGGGTCCTGGAACGTGGTGTACTTGGTGCCGATGGCGGATCTGTCTTCCTAGAGACTTGACTAGAAGCGGGAGGGATCACTTGACTGCGGTGTCGCGTATGACCTCTTGGGGTGGGAGGCCCCGAGCTCGAACTTGCTGGCTGTCGCAAAGAAGCCGACCTCGACGGCCGAGGCGGGGGAGGCATTTCTGACTTCTTCGGCGATGTTGGACGCCCATTTTGCTTCGCTGGGGAGGGCGAGGGAGGCGCAAAACTGGTTCGTCTCGGTGTTGTAGACACGGCAGTAGGCTTCGCAGGAGAAGGGGTGGTCTTCAATGGAATCGGTTTAATCAGACTTCGACGACGACTCGCAAGGGTGGGGGTAGCGGATAGCTTGTCTTGTTCTGGCTTGCTCGCTCGCTGAGCAATCCGGCTATCTTGTTGCGGCTGAGGTCGCAATGGACTCGCCGACCGGCTGTCATCGCGGACTGGCAACAAGCTCTTGCTTCGAGTCGAGACATTTTCGTTACTGGTCGCAGGATTCGAGGGCGTACCGCCCGCCGCTGCCTTTGTGCTGGTCGATACTGTCCTGATCGAGGCTGAGCGACCTAGTGTAGTGGACTTATTTTTCCATTGTTAGAATACATCAGCTGGGGAATGGTGTGCGAAGAACAGCTCTCATCTCTGGGAAGCTTGAGGCAAGGGAGGTACAAAAACTAACCTGTTTACGGGGCTCCCGAAGCGACAGGGAGCGAGTGGGTATTGGCATTGTGGCTAGGGATCAAAGTCATTCATCAGATCATGCATGCATTCAGTCAGTTATTTTGATCAGATCTGTGGGGAGAGAAGAGTGGTCTCAAATCCAGTTTCAATCCACGGGCGGAGTTTATTTATGTCAATAGTATGAACAATCATCTCCAGTTCCAGGTTTAAGTTCCTTGTGCTGCGGTGAGCTTCAGTGCCAGTTCAAAAAAGCTTGGCATCCGAGTGCTTTCCCAATGGGAAACAGGGCCAATGAACAAGGACTGCGAGCAGATACCTTTCTGGTTGATCTATTTGTGCTGATATAATGAATGAATTTATTGTTATTAGGGATAAAGAATAGAGTAACTACTACACTGTATTTCAATATAACCACACTGTCAATCATGTTATATTTCCAGCTATATCTATATATATTTGAATTTATCAATAATGGAGTCTCCTTGTTTTTGGTTCATACTCCATACTTTCCAGAACAGTCAAACTAATCATGAGGAATAAACCGGAAACCACAATGATCCAAGAGTGTCAAGGCTGTGGTATAAAGTTTGAATCGAAGATTTAAGTGGAATTTCATTTCACTAGTTACGAGAACGTCATCAATGAGCGTTAAGTGTTTCAACTTTTTATTGGTACTCGTGTATGGCATGCTTCATAATTACTTCATTCAACTCGGACTGTCTGTGATATCAAAAAGTACAGATAACACAAACTTTTGACTGACAACGTGGACAACGGCCTAAGCAACTCAGTCTCGAAAACACGGATATACCCATGTTAGGCCATCGCCATCTTGTTCAGCAGGCGTACATGGACACAGATTAAGCGGTTCAAAGGATTCCCGGTTACAGGTAGCCTCGGACTTTCCTCCCTTTCCTTCACCTAAGAGTTCAACTTCGACCCTCTTCGACTCAACAAACCATCACAATGTCCCATGCACCCATTACAAGCTTCCACGTCTCGGGAAAGAGACACCCTCCACAGCAGGATGGTCCGTGAACCAGCTGACCTTCTCACCAGCACCTTGGTTGACAAGAGAAGAAGGGAGTTCCCTTCCCTCCTCAGCATCGAAAATTTGCTTCATGATGTCCTTCTTTCCACCACCGGTAGCCACAAATGCGATGCTAACAGCGTGAGTGACCACGGGCAGGGTGAGGGTGATGCGCTTCGGTGGGGGCTTCGGCGAGTCGCTAATGGCCGCGACCCAAGCGTCCTTCTCCCTAAGGAGCTCATGGCCGGGGAACAGGCTGCAGGTGTGACCATCGGGACCACAGCCCAGAAGGATCAAATCGAACACGGGCAATTTGACGCTGTCCTTGGCCGCGAAAATGCGCATCAGTTCCTCCTGATACAAGTCTGCGAGCTCCTGGGGATCCTTGTCGTTCACATGGTTGGGATCGATGGTGTGCACGCGGGGCTCACCCAGTTCTGTGGGAATCTTGCTCAGCAATTCATCCTTCAGTAATTTGTAGTTGCTGTCTTGGTGATCGAGGGGCACGGCGCGCTCGTCGGCAAAGAAGATATCCCACTTGGAGAACTGCGCGGTGTCTTCGGGGGTTCCGTTGCCTTGCGCAAGGAGAGCCTTGGCTAGAACAGTGGGCAGGGAGCCACCGGAGACTGCAACTCGGAAAGTGTCATGCCGGGCGAGGGCGGCATTTTGGTTCTTAAGGACGTATGTCCTCAACTGTTGCGCGAGCGCATCCGAACTGGAAAAGCTGTACAGGTTGGGAGATTGGCTTGCCATGGTGACTATTATGAAGATTAGCGGATGTGAAGAGAGGGAGACTAAGAAAGAAAGAAAAATGAAAAAAGAGGTTTGTTGGATTATTATTACAAGGTGGTGGTTTCGGTCAACAGCTCTAAGGCGGGGTGGCGGGGCAGTTACTTTGTTGATTTTAATGTTATTGGAGATGTACAGTATGTAATCATTACCTTACCCAGTCCCGTGCCTGCCGAAAGCAATTCATCCACAATCAGTTAAAGAGATCAATCATTCAGAAGTTCTTTCTTTTCTTTTTTCCCCATAATCATTGATATCATATCTTCTTCATCTGGAATAGTAAGAGAGAAGCCAGAAACATGGTTACAAAAGAGATAGGGTAGCAAAACAGCAACATCTTGATTGAAATGACTGAACGGTTGGTGGAACTCCGTCAGTCTCCCATGACGTCGTTGTTGGTCATTTTGAACACAATCTCGCAGGGGAGAAAAACAGAACACTGACAGGAACAAACTACAGTTGAACTTTCCATCAAGCTGGTCTATTCTGGGCTCCTAAATTCTCTGTTTTAATTTTGACTTACTTAGCGGTTCTGAGTGAGGAGATTGTGAGATTTTGTATGTTATTCCCTCCCCGTCCAATTCGGAAAAGAGCTGGGAGATCTATTATCTATCATCGATCATCGGCCACCTGTCCGACCACAACAGGGGAGGGGGGGAATATAGGCAATGATGTCAGTGCAATGTCCTCTCGCAGGAGCTATTGCTATGAATCAGGGAAAATGCAACCCCGATCCCTCGGCAACTCGATCGCCCTTGTCCGATGTAGGTATGGTATGGTATTTGATGAATGGCTTGCCCACCCCGTCAAATTCAAGCTAGCTGGAACGAAGGAGTCTGCGAATTGACTATTTCGGCCTCATGCATTGCCGCCAACTTAGGAGCGGTCCGCATGCCCACGCGTTATTACAACATTGTGCAGGCGCCAGAAGCGACAAGTCCTACTACTTGCGGTGCCCGCTGCGTCTGGTGATTGATTATTGACCAGTCGAGATGTAAAGTGCAGACCTAAGTCACGCAGGACGGGATGTTGATTAGGGTGACGAGACACAATTGTCGCATCATTTTTTTTTTAAAGAAAAGAAAAGGTTATTAATCACGATAAGATACTAGTAAAAATGAAATTGAAGACAAGTGAGGGGGGCCTACAAAAATAAAAGAAATCAGAGAAAAGGGGAGAAGAAGATCGTGAGAACGTTCAGACAGTATTGAATGTGCGGAGTCAACATGCGTGTATTATATGTTCTGTCGCAGCGCCGCGCCCGAATGGGCACAAATAAAGAAACATGCATAGAGTCCGGGGTGTCTGTGCTTTAAGCATCCGAGATGTGATGTCAGTGCGATGAGTGCTAAGACAACAGAAGAAAAACGACCATTTTGTTCCCCTCCAGCACCAGGAACAGTGCATTGCAGCTGGTCATCAGGTGACATGGGCATGGAGGGGTTGTGATGCTTTAGGGAGGAGTACTAAAGAATAATTATACTAGTTAAAAGATTAAATGGTATAAGAAGGGTGATTTCTTTTAACCACACTTAATTTCAATTTCAGTTTCGATTTTCTGTTCTTTTTTTTTTTTTTTTTTAAAAAAAAAAAGAAAAAAAGAAAAAAAGGTGAAAAAAGTTAACGTTGTACACTCTGGGTATAGTTGATATAACCCAACAAAGTAACCAACAAGCGTCTCCAGCTTTAATTCCTAGGTACGTATCTGCCATGGAGCGGGGAATGGAGTGACGTCGTTTTCGAGGTGCATGTGTGGAGGGAGCTATGTCCTGAAAAATTTAAGGGGCGTTTCAATAATATGCAAAATAATCCTTGTTTACAAGAAAAAGAAACGAAAATGGAGACTGCAGCCATCGGAGATAACTGTCTGAAAATGCCTCAGAAGGGGACACAGTACTCCGGGCTGTCGTGTCCGTGTATGTGCTGCCAATTGCAGGCACAGGATGTATGTATGGATGCACATACGTTTTACCTAGATAGTAGTCCTACTACGGCACGCTCGGCTGGCTTTCCTCGCAGGAGACCAAGCCCTGCAGCTAACTAACTCTTTCGAGCGATCAAGGCGCAAAGAAAGCTGGAATGTATGCACTCTATACGTACATAACATATGCGTGGTTGCAAAGGATCACACCAGCCATCGCCCAATCCCGGGGTGCAGCTGCCAGCAAAGAGCCTGAAAGGGAACGGTAATTGGTACTGAATAAGTATCGTCACAAGGGTCAAGTTTGTAGTTACGTTAGGTTGATGAGGTTGTTGACGTCGATGCTGGTTTTACTGCTTGCATGCAATCAGGGAATGTTGCGTGATACCGGGCTCCAGAAGATGATGATGTTAGCAATTAAGATGGATGAAAGGCCTGTCAATCGATAGCATCATGACTCTCAATTCATTGTCCACTCAGGGGAGAAGGATAAGCGTACATTTGTTCATGTCTCGTTCGTGCGACCCAGACACACTCAAATTCTGAAACGACGGCAGTGGAGACGGTAACCGCCTCACGGGAAATGCTGCACAGCCGCAGTTCCCTAAAAGTTACCCACGAGGCTGGAAGTAACATTCACCATACAATACGTTTCATTTCTTACTGCCAAGACATGAGATTTTCCTGTTGTAACTCGATTGTCAATGAAGATAACAAATAACATCGAGGCAGAGCTTGTCGGTCATGATCTTTTTCATTGAATCTGTTTTATTTTATTTATCTTTGCCCGACAAAAGGGGCAAGACCTCGTACCTTGTCGTGTAGTAGTAGTACATTCGAGATGTACTACTCATGATGATATTAAATCCGCCCCCGATTACCCAATCATATTGCCTGTTCCAGGCATCATTCTGGCATCAGCCGCACGTTGACCATGGAAATCAACCAGTCCGACCAGCCTCGACCGAAGGTGGTGAGATCGGCGACTGTTAACGGGCAACAATTCTTGACTCAAAACGATAACCCCATTAAGATAGCATTACCTTACATTGACAGGCAACCACTCATCATCTGCGAAAGCCACATGCTCCGCCAGGCTATCGGATTTTTTGGCTTTGGTATCCAATAGTACCGTCCATTCTTGGTCTTAATGGCCAAGAACGGACTAGACTGATAGATGGGACTCAACCGTTCAGATACGAGAGAAAGGTCTTAGAATAATAGGTTTTTTTTTTTTCTTAAAAAAAAAAAAAATACTAAATAAAAAATTAAGAAAGCCTAAAACAACCAAAACCTAGTCCTTCCATTAATCCCGCTGAGCAGGGGGATTCGTAATTTGTTGGAGGGGAAGTTGTGCAAATGGGACCATGAATGTTCCTGAGAGGAGAAGAGGGCGAACCACTGCGGCGATCGCCCCAGAGAGTGAATCCGTCAACCAGACGATCGGTCATGACGACACGACCTATGTAGCAATCTCTCCTAATTTGGAGGGGGGGAAGATTGTCCATCAGGGTTAAGCCAACCCAATCTATCGACGACTTTTTTTGTTGTAGTAGGGAGTTCTGCAGTCCGAAAATGCACTCAAGTATTTCCCACCGACCCCATCACCTTGTAAGGTAAAAACATGCTTTTACCAAATGGGGATGGGGGGGTAAATTTATCCATACACTGATCGACCAAACAGACTTGATGTACAGTACATTCATTCAAAACCCCGAAACTCAAATCATTAGAATAAGAAAGGCAGCCTGATGCACAGCTGTAAGTACATACATACATACAAGTACCGTATGTACTCCGTACCCCTGATAGTAGCAACATCAAGGTACTATAATACTTTCCTGCTCCGCCCTACGGTCGGCATCGTCCATACCTATAATCACGAAGCTACAATCTCTCTCCCACTGTCTCTATGGAGGATCGGTTTTTACCCCCATGGTTGACAGCCTGGGATTGACCCTGAAACTGAACCCACATTCCGCCCTGTTCTCCTAGTTTACTCGAAGAACTCATAAGTATCGAGACTGGTATTGATGGTGGTTAATATTTTCTCCATTTTAAAAAAGCGCTTTCTCCTCCGGGCTCCATAACTGCATCTCCAGTTTTGCAGTCTCCTGATTCACTAAGATTTTATTATTTTTTTCAAATTTTCAAAATTCCTTATTTTTGATTTCGATTTTTTATTATTATTATTTTTTTCTCTCCTCCCTCTCCCGGGCCCTAAAAAAAACTATTTTCGCTTTCAAACTAAAAAGACGCCGGTCCTAAACAGGGAGAAGCAAGTGGATCGATCTGACCCTTCAAACTTGCCCTTGGCTGGTGGTATAGATATTTCGATACTTCCAGTCCAGCCCAGTTTGAATGTTTTTATTCTAGTCACTTCTCACGATTCTTCTCTTCCCCCAAACTTTGAATGCCGACTTGTCCGTTCGACTTTCTTGACACAAACCCTGTCCCACGTGGTTGATTCTCGTCTGCCTGGGAATCTAGTGGAAATTACGTCCGCAGAACAAGAAAGAAACATTTCCGTCACTCCGTGAATTTATTATTTTATTCTTTACTTCACTACGCATTGACTCAGCCTCGTTTTACTATTTTCTCTTCAAACAGTTTTCTCCCAACAACCACGCTCTCACCTTTTTCTCTCCCTTCCTCCCTCCCTCTCTCCGAAGCCTACAACCTTCTCTGGTTGACACTCTCGTCGAAACGGATCAGTGCTACTACTCCCGCGTACCTTACACCCCCCCACAACGTCGTCGCCCATACCGTCCATTTACACTGCGCCCGCATCGATCGGCATTTCCCAAAATGAGTTCGCCCTCGGTACAGGTTCAACCGCAACCTTCCGGTGGCGCAAAGGGCGTTTCCCACACAACGAAAGAGGCTGGTGCCATGAACTTCGATATTGTCCGCTGTTCAAGATGTCAGCGCTCCATGAGCCTTGAAAATGACTCCTCCCCCGGTGTTGTGCGCTTCGGCATGAATTCATATTACTGCAGCCGCTGTGCATCCATGGTCGGCTTTATCCGATGAAGCAATCGCCTCTTGCAATTCGCGCAACAGAACAAGAAAAGAGAAACGACATCGTTACGAACGCATTTTTCGTCGTGCATTCTAGCTCTTCTGCTACACCACCGCCGCCTCTAGGCAGTAGGCAGGATCGGCATGTTCGTTCTCCAGTTTTAGTTGTTTTCTATTTCGACCACTCGCTCAGACGATATTCCCGAGAACTGTTCTGTGCTGGCACGACTTCTCTCACACCCCTCGAGCAAAGGATAATGGCTACGGACTACGATTCAGTCGTTGAGGTCGGATGGGCTTTATCGATGCCGCACCTCTCGCAATCATACCTAAGGGAGCAATGACTCACCGCGCGCCACAGAGAAGGTACAGGTGGACCGGATGGGTGGACAAAAATAATTCTTCACTCCCACGGGATCAATGAGCGGCACAAGACAATAGCTAGGCTCGGGAAGCTCGGCATCTACAACGAAAAATGCCGTCCACCATGCTCGATAACTCCGAGCTGTGCCCTACCTTGCGATAAAGCTACATTTATATTCAATAGCTCGATGGAAATCTACGATACCCTGCATATGTGTCATTCACTTTGTACTGCAAGTTTTACAAGGAACTAAGCTGTTTCTTTGTGTGTTTTTTCCTTAGCACGGCATGTAGGGTCCTGAATAAAGTTCAAGGATTCCTTTTCTTTCCTATGTTTCACTATGTCTAATTGTTTCTTTTCCGCTCAATACCCACTTTATGTTGAACCATTAGCGATTAAGAGTACTGTGTCATACTAGATCCCCGTAAGCAACGCTTACAATACAATATCGAGCTCATTCAATTGATCTACAATACAATTTTTTTTTCCCACTGTGGCACTCTAGCGGACACTGAATAGGGGCGGCTGGCATACTTTCCACACCTGTGCCGACATACCAATGCGCGCTGCCTATCGCAATTAAACCCAATAACCCCGGGATGATCGCCATTGCATCGACAACAAACTCATTGACGATGAACATGCCATTCTCCCGCAAGGCCGATATGGCGTCATCGGCTACAACAACACCAGCTGTCAGGACCGACCTCCGTGAGTAGATCCTTACCATCCATGCAAAACATCCACAGATTCCACCTCCATCGCCTTATGAAACCCCTATGCATGTCATACATCCCCCCTGTTGCAATTTCACGCCCGTTCGACGCCACACTCTAAGAGTGCGGAACAATCAAATTACCTCGTAGATCTTACGCCCAGACCACCTACGAACCATAAATCAACCAACCCATCACACAGAGCTTCCAGCTTGTAACATGCCCCTCCCTTTCTCTATTTGGATCTCAACTTCCTGATTCAGTAATGGATCCATTACTCCAGATCGGCCAAGTATTTACTCGAACGGGATGTTGAAGAATCAAAAAAAAAAAAAAAAAACCTTCCTAAGCTTGTTTCGTATGGATGAACATACATACAATGTACATACATACATACATACCCCTCAACAAGGGCGATCTACCTTATTTACCCCTCCCCCTTACTGCTGGGGCAAGAACAAATGCTCGGAGAATGGGCTGTCTGCCACTTCAATTACTACCGAGTGCTCAGATCGCGTGTCTTCGGTATACAGAGTCCATACTAGTATGTAACTACTAACTAGGTAAGAATGTATTTCCAGGCGCGCGAAGCGCCCCTTTTCTCTCCATTCGCTATTCTCAAAATCACACACAAAAAACAAAAATAAATAAAATAAATAAAATAAAATAAAATTTACTAATTCTCATCCAAAAAAAAATTAACCAATTGAGTAGCAGACAGTGTGTACAGTAAGTACTACCTAGACACATTCTTCACTATTTCTTTCCCCACGAGAACCAGAAACAACCCTCGTTAGAAATGTGGTACCAGACTACGCCCTGTAGGCAACCACGCGAGTGTGGCGCAGGGAAAAAAATATGAACCACGAACTCCACCCCCCTTTTACAAACCATGTAACGTTCGGTTACTGTGGAGAGGGTCAAGTTGATCAGTGGGTCGAGTTTCTATCGGGATTCATTTCGGCTGGCATGAGAGTGGCCGGACTTCTCCGTTTTTGAGCCCGTAGGGTTTGTTTCAAATTCAGACCTATTTCAGCTGTAGGGCTCCACTGATTTGCTTTTGCCCGGTGGCGGGTTTGGAGTTTCAGATGGGTTGGATATTTCTGAAGGGGGAGGGGGAGATGAGTGTAGGTGTAACTCAGTACGGGGGGTTTATTTCTCTAGAGGTAGAGTTACCTGTGGCGGTAGTCAGGGGGATAAGAGAGTTTTTCGTTGTAAGGGATTGGAAGTATGTCTACTGTGTAGTGATCATTGATGATGCCCAGTATACGGTAGGGCCCGTGTATGAATATTTGGGTCTGGTGTTTGCCCGTCTACCCCCATTTCTCAGGCTGTTGATGGGTGATGGTTGCTACCCAACGCCCAGGAGAAAATCAATTCACTCGACTTTCGTTGAAGTAATGGTGAATCATGGATAGTTCTTTTGAGTTGAGGTTCCATCGAATGGATCAGACAATGACAGTTGACATAACCTTTACACTTCGAGCATCCCATGGGTCTGCTCTCTATCCCCGCGGCGTCTTTCCATGGACACGGTGAGTGAATTCAGATAGCTTTCGGAAATTCAAGGACCCTGTCCTTGCTTGGATGATCAAAAGCTTCTACCGCACGAGGAGAAAGAGCGTGTGTACTTCGGACCCGAGCATCGGGAGTTTTTTTCCGAAGCGATGTCCCTTGACAGAGGATCAAAGACAGGTGAATAAGTTTAATATCCAGAAGAAAAGTGTACAGTAGAACGCATCCCTAAATTCCAGACAAATTCCAGAAACAACCGAACAGACTAACGCGCTCGGTAGTAAATCCCAAACCAGTCAGCAGGCTCTCAGTGAAAAAGCAAAACCTCCGGTACTGGCCTGCCGAAAGTCTATTGTCAACTAGTTCGCTTTTCATTATACGAGATCCACGCGACCGAAAGAAGGAAACATGAACATGACTCAGTATCCGTGACTGCGGCATTACGAGACGCCGGTATTTGGAACTGAAGCTCATGGGATGTACGGAGTACAGTCATCGTACTCCGTACTCCATCTCGGTCTCCAGTTGAAGCAATAGTTGCTAGTGGAAGATCATAACCAGAACCACGGTACCGGGTAGATGATGGTAGCCGGCTATCAATCGATCGTCGGACTATTGATTTTTAGTGAATCCCGCGGTTTTTTCGATTGAGATGGACACTAAACTAGTACTCTGTCGATTCCGTTGCTGACTCGTACGTTTTTGAGACGGAAATTATTCTATTTCATTGAAAAGAGTAACGTGACAGGAGCGGAAGAAGAAAAAAAAAAAAAAAAAAGAAAAGAAAAGAAAAAGAAAAAGAAGGGGTTAGTCAGAGTATTGAATAAACCACTTTCATCTGGACTCTACGGGTCACATGGTTCTATCTATCGTCTATCGCCCAGGGACTTTTCATTCAGCCCGTTGCCCTCTTCCGCTAGGGCACAGACAGCACTGTGGTCTCCAGAACGTCGCCTTTGATCAACCATGAGCTTCGGCGTACTGTTCCGTAGCGCTCGGTCACAGAGCCACCTTACTCCCTACGTCGTATCGCGTCCTGACATATTGTCGTACTGGCGGTGACCAGCCATTGCTCGCCTAATATGCAGACATTGATCACGACTGGACGGCGTTGAGCATTAATGGATGCCTCATATGCGGATGTGGTCAGGGATCAGCGCGGCATCGGAACACTATTCATCAAGGGAGCGACTGAGGACTCTTTTCTCAACCAGATTCATTCAATTGACGCGTCGATGGATCTGACAGGACGACTCTAAATTTTAAATGTCAACAGAAAAGAAAAGAAAAAGTTATAGCTCAGGTACTAATTTCTTGGTTGGGGGGGGGGGTGTCACGTCGGACAAGAGTGCGGCTTATCAAAAAAGAAGATGATGCATCATCTCGGGGTCTCCATCTTCCTCCACCAATGCTGTTGATCTCTTTTTTGCCGGCTGAACCAAATGCCAAATCAGAAGACAAGCAAAAAGCAATGCTGGCCGTAAACTCTGGGATGCATTTCGACCTCTTCCAATCACCGTTGCTCGTCTTCTGTTCTTTTTCTATGTGATCGTGTCTTCGCCGTTAATTCCTGGGAATTTCTTCCTCAGCAGATCTTCACTAATGGGACAGCTATCGACCACCAGGATCCTAGTCTAACCCGATCGATGATCGGTTATTCAACAACTTCTCTCTCACAATGCGATTCCACAGAGACAATGATGCCGTTCAGCCGGGTTGCCTTCTTATTCGCAGAACGAATGCAGGGCTGATGCTCCACTTCTTTTGCGAGTTCTCCAGAGTCCAGCTTCGCCATCGTTCCCCTGTTGTGGCTGCCCTGAAATCTAGCGGTGTAACATAGTATTGCCAAGAGGAGTGTCCTCAAGCATCTGAGGGTGTTCCTTTCTCGTCGTCTGAGACGGAAGGTGTGTCATGACGGCTTTGAAGGGCTCGGAAGTTCAAGTCACTATTCATAGCAGCAACAATTGTATTCATACCGTACAAAAAGACGAAGGGGGGAGAATAATGTTATAAAACATAATTAAAAAAAAAAAAAAGAAGCAAATATTGTAAGCTACACTTTTTTCTTTTCTTTTCTTTTCTTTTTCCCTATTCCCTCATTCTCTGTCTTCCATTTTATTTTATTTTTTATTTTTTTTCCCTCCTTTCTCTTCCCTTTCCCTTCCTTCTTCAACCTTTCTATAGCTCTTACTTAGCTCACTTACCCACCGGAACCGATGCATGACATATAACTAACAGGTCCACGCATCCGCGTCCATCACATTCATCAGGTTGGAGGCAATTTGACATATCTCAATATTAGTTCCCAATCCACTCCGGAGGCATTTCCAGCCCATTTCCCTTGCGCTGCCCGAGCCACGCATCTCCATTCGTCAGCCGATGCATCGGCGGCTTTGTCCGTGTCTGGCCTCGTTGCA